ATAATAACCGGTTATTATTAATAATTTTCAATTTATCACATTAACCGTAACATGTATATGTATTGGTAGTAATGTAATATTTGGAGGTATTTTTTATATTTTTTGGTACTTACATGTGTACATTATTCTAAATTAAAAGTAATAGGCTATGGGTAAATGGACACCAATATTTAACGGTTTATCACCAATCTAAGGTGTGATATTACATTGATAAGGCAAAGTAAGGTTACTTTAGCCTGGATTCTCGTCAATCGATAGCAAGGTTACATAACAAAAAATATTTCGCTATTCTTCACAATTTAACCACTATTTAATAAAAAGTTACAAGTAACAACGCAAAACAAATGAATATTTGGGGTAGAATTAGATAAAACCGAAGAAAAAATCACAAATCAAAATTGGAACCATACCTTGCGGGTCGAATAAAAAAGAATATTTCAAGAACTTACCGCAACCAAAAAGTGTTTATAGCACAAATGTAAATAAGTTGAACTTTCTAAATATCACTACACACAATAGTAGATGGGATATTACCTTTTATTTGTGATTTTCGTTCCAAAAATTTTATATCACAAATTCCGTATGACTGAAAAATTTCAGCGACATCTAGTGGCAGCTGCCAAACTTTATCAAATTTACGTTCGGTTCTACGCATTTTGCATTCGACGAACATTTCGAGTAATGTTTGAAACGACGAAAATCTATTTAAATATTGATTATAAAAGTTTATTTGGCAAAGTATCAATTTAAATTAAGTTTTATACAAATAAATATATTTTTATTAGCGCACAAAATAGATCATCCATCACTAAAACGCTGTAACGCTGATGCCTATCATCACCAGAATAATCTTTTTAATATTTATTGCTATTTCCAAATTGTTCTATTCTATTGGGAAAAACTTTTGTCCAAATCATTAAAAAAAATCCATGTGAAGGTATTTAAAGCAACAACCTTTTAGGAAATGTGAGCACCTACACACAAGGTAGGAGGAAAGTTCTTTACCTATTTTCTGATTGAATGATTATGATAGGTTAATTAATAATCAAATTTTTAATATTTTATTTTTATATTTTTGGCATCGTTATCATTGATTTCAGATATTAAATAATACAACTGATCATTCGAAATCGCTTGATCCACCGCAACTGAGGCATTATTGTTTCTGTATGTCAGATCTTGGAAATTGTCTGTGGGTATACTGAGTCCTCTCTCCTCCGCTTCTCCGTAGTAATTGTCTAACCCGTCGTCAGATTTATCTACAGCAGACGATGCGCTATTAACCTCGCCATTATTGCTATCACCGATCCTTTCCGCTTTCTCCGCATCAGATAAATATAGCAGAGTCAATACAGAATCATCTATTTTCGAGATCTTATCCTCCAAATCCTTGTCCTTAAGCATATCCATGATTTTCTCATCGTCTAACAACTTCTCCTCCTCCACGCTCGGCATGCCATCAATGATTTCTTTTAAATCTATATCATCGATCAGATTAACAAGGTTTTTCTCTAAATCGTCATCTTTCCTGGATGATATCGCGAAGTTTTCGTCTAGTGCAGTGACTTTCATTAATTGGGCTTCTGTAGTAAAATCAGGGTCGACCACACCAATTTCAGTGACCACTTGAGCGGTGTCTTCGATTGAGGCTTGCATTGGAGTAGTAGTTTCTGGTACTTGAATGGGTATTGGAGGGGAATTCGTTGTACTTTCAGCAGCTGGCATGACTTGGTCGTTCCGGGGTTGGACATCGGTCAAAAGGTCTTGATACTGAGCTGCTTCGCTGCTGCCAAACATAGTGTTTAAGAACTCTTGGAAAATCTTTCCGCTCTTCAGCATCCTCAAGGCGTCGACTTCCGAGATAGGGATCGGATCTATTTTGCCACTTAGAGGAGGAATTTTAAACGTGGTCGGTTGAATCGGTTGGTAATATTGGCCGAGAGTCACGATGGTTTTCCGACGTAGAGTAGTTCGCTGGTTAATGTTGGGCACCTCCTAAAAGATAAAGATTGAGTAATTTTCACGATTCTGTGCAATCTATCTAGCTAGTGCTTAAGGTTCATATTAGGAGATGCGATAGACATGCAGTGCAACTTTTACTCAACATTGATGAGTGAAATGTGAATGATCCATTTAGTGATATGATGAAAATTGTAAATACCTATGCTGATAATTACTTCAGACCAAAACAACATACACCAATAAAATGACTTCACCTGTTCCATGATCTCCTCAATCCAGTCAGCGTAGTAGCCAAGCTTGGTGAAGACAGTCGGGGCATCAGGGGTGCCACACACAGGAGAGCCGAAGCTGACCACCCCCATCAAGAAACCTTTCACGACGCCTGGTCCACCCACATCGTGCTAGAAAAAAAAAACATCCTTTTGTACAAAGACAACATCAAAAAATGTGTCATACGGCCAAAAAAGTGGTCTAAACGTAGTCAATCATAATGTTTCGTCACTTACATTGCAGGCTCCTCCACCCTTGGAGAAGAAACCAGCGCAAAAATGTTTTTTGGTGACATATTCCCTGGAACAAAAATGTCAGTTAAATATACACAGAATGTATTGAGTAGAGTAAGAGTGTATGCTTGATAGGAATAACTTACTTTGAATAGATATCTTGGCATTCTCGTAAGGGATAGATATCCAAGACGGAAAACGACAGAGCATTTTCCCAAGGATTCTTAACCACGTTGCTCATCTAAAATGAAAAAGCAGTTAGAAAGTGGGCATAGGTTCAACGTATCTAGGCTAAAATAGTGTTTTATGATCCGTATCACTTACTCCTTTGGCTCCCCATCCAACAATGGTAATCCCATCAGTTGTCAACGGCAAATTCGCAGGATTCCTATCAAAGTCTATCTTCTTCACCTTTTTGCCTCGTTTCCTGAACCGCAGCCTTCTAACCAGACGCAGAATACAGATATTGTTCCACAGGTTCTTTGGATTGTACTGGGGATGGAAGTAAACCTCCAACACGGGTATATTTTCACCACCACCATTGTAGAAATTACTTCCGACTCTGACGGAGAGGAAGGCGGGGTTTTCGCGGAAGAATCTGTTATTCCACGCTCTAAATATAGAAAAAAGAAAACAAGTTAAAATTTTACATACTAGTAGTAGAATGACATCATAAAATAAGTAATAGCTAAGGCGAATATAAAAGTAAACTTACAGCTGCAAGCATGACGAAGCCGTGATGACTAGATCGGACTTGATGATTGACCCTCCGCAGTGGAACCTATTGAAAATCTGGATGCTTGCCATGAACGGGAAGTGCTTAATCTTAGTCCTCGTCCCGCGGTAAATGCGGCGACCACTCATATCTGGTTCTGGAAAAAAGTAGGTTTTAAAATACCTGAACAAAATATGTACCAAATCATACATTCTAGGAACTTACTCCAATAGTTACTTCCATCAATGAGCGTATCATTTTCATCAACATCTGAACTGTACGACTGGTCCATTGTGAAATTGTAAGGTAATACTTCATTGTCATTCAAAACTTTATACAAGTCTTCCTTTATGGGAAACCTCTCATTAATAACGCCATATTGCTCTTTTAGATCTTCCAGTTTTGTTAGGAACTGATCAATATATTTTATCACGCTTTCATCGTTGGCTTCAGTGATTATTGCTTCAGTCCTTCCATCATCGTTATCTTCATTTAGTATTTCATTTATAACGGTCATAAAACTTCTAGTTTCGTTATTTATTTTTGTTTTATCGACTCGAGTGAGCTTTGCTATTTCCTTCAAGTTGGTGTAATCTTGCAAAGTGAACGAAACAAGATGGTTGTGAACTGTGGAGTACTCTTTTAACCTGGGCTTGGTCTTGATGCCTCGGAGTCCAAGTTTATAGAACAGTGTGTTAATGGTGTCTCGAATAGCTGCTTCTGTTACCAAAATGTTATTATCATCGACTTTTGGCAGCTCCACGAGTCCTCGTGTTTGAATAGCAAACGACACAAGAGCCAAGATGACACAATTTAATGAAAACATGACTAAAATTTCAAAACTATCAAAATATTTAGCTCTAAGTAAATTATAAAATATACAAGGTACTGTGAGTTACTTGGGCAATACTCGCTGGAAATGTTATCACAGTAAAAGGAACTTATTTATGACTTTTGTTTTATTACCCTGGCGTTTATAAATTCTTGCGAAATTTTATTAAAATCCGAAATTGAAATTTCGACATACTTTTATGGACTGTGGTAATAAAAATCTTGTTTTGAATCACATTTTTATTGCATTAGACCTTTTTAATTTAAATATTTACTTGTTTGATCATTACGTAGTTGCTTAAGAAAGTTAAATTAAATTAGCCGCAGTCTTCAAAATACACCATGAATGCCTGTAAGATATTCTTGTCAATAATGTTCATCGTGTCCGAAGCTTTTCAAGATTTCTCGTATACCCCAACTTCGGCGATGAATTTTAATATTCTTCACAGAAATACTGAAACTATTCACACAACGATGAATAAGATGTTTAAATCGTTGAAATTAAGGAAGAGTTTTAAGGAGTCCACGAAAATACGACTGTTGTTAACTATGCATAAGAATTTAATAAGCATTTTAAGAAATAGCTATAAAAACCGTGAAGTTGATAATAATGCTGATAACATAACTATAAAAGAATATCCGAATAACAATATAATAGATGAAATATTAGAAGAAGAACATTGGCAGCAATTTTTTTCTCCAAATGAAACGGCACAAAATAGCACAGCCAATTCAGATGGCCTAACAGAGCATGTAACTTGGCACCTTCAACAATTTCTTTTGAAAATAGATGAAATTAAGAAGAAGCATCAGAATATAAACAACGATACTCTCTCTGATAAAAATTCTACTAATACACAAAACAAAACATTGACGAGGAGATCTGGACGAAGAATGACTCAACTTAAGGCTTGGAGTGAGTCTAATATTTCGTAACCTAGTCCCTTTTTCATTATAGTTTCTTAAGATCGTTGACATAAGTTCCAATAATGCTTAATCAATCTGCAATAGTTCCAGATGCAGACCAAAAGCTTACTAATATTAACAGAAGAATCTACAACAGTAAGAGAACTAAAATCAAAAAGTATCCCTTCATGGCTAGCGTCCACTTGTCAGGAGACTTTGTCTGCGCTGGTTCCATCATCAGCAGAGACCTCATCATCACGTCAGCATCGTGCTTGCAAATGTTAGTATAACAAGATATTTTAACAAAGGCCTTGTTCAAGAAATAAAATAACTGCAGTCGTCGCCGAGCGGCGAGCACGTAGAATTTCGTTCAATGACCCCAAGCTACCCATCCTTATCGCTTGCGCGTAATTCTATTGCTGTTGCGAATGTGCGACTGGCGGTCGCAGTGAGTGTGGGAGCGCAAGAGATAAGGATGGGTAGCTTGGGGTCATTGGACGAAATTCTACGTGCTCGGCGACCGGACTTTAGTAAAAATACTCTCGTACTTTTCAGAGCCTATCTCCACCGTCACAATCAACATTTCAAAAGCAATGTCTCAGTCAGAATCGGCAGCGACTTCGCCACCCACGGTGGCGAGTACGTAGCCATCTCTCAAATCTACTTCCATCCCCTTTACAACCCCGAGAACTTGAAGAACAACCTGGCAATCTTGGGGATGAACAAACATCAACACTTCTCGAAAAAGAGGAAGATCAGAAGAATTGTGTATGACAAAACAACGGGCGACTTGGCGAATAATGTGAACAGGGTTACGATCGTTGGGTGGGGTGCGAAAAATGTCAGTAACTAAGTAGTAATAAGAATTAGAAAGTTAACAATAATCAAAACTGCCTTCTTAATAATTTGTCTTCGACTTTTAGGAACTCAATCTCCAAGACCCTTCAACTAAACTTTCACTCGGTCATCTCGATCTATACGATTTAGGAGAATGTAAAGCTGTGTATTCCACGTAAGTTCCTTGTCGTTTTCCTTCATAATTTTATATGCCATTTAATTAGAAAAACTGTTTTTTAAGTTGGATTCATTTACAGTTTCTACGTGAATGAGCAAAACTTCTGCGCTGGGTTTATCTCCAAAGGCTCTGGAGCATGCGATGTTAGTATTCGTGCATCAAATTGTTCATAATGAGCCGTTTAGAATTCACACCAAAGGACTGGATTATTATAGCTGTTTTGTAATTGTAGAAAGACGTCGGTGACCCTGCTGTCGTGGCTGGAGTTTTGGTGGGTGTAGTGAGCTTCGGACCCCCACTCTGTGGCACTCCAGACGCTCCTACAGTCTTTACCAGGCTTGGCATGTATGTGAACTGGATCGACGGCATCATAAGGATGGTAACAATTTCATAATTTTCTTTCCAATATTTAGGGAGTGCATGAATTTCGAAAAAAAAATCGGATTTCTGCGTATCAAAATAAATCAGATGTCATCATCTTTTACAGGATCCAACTAAAATTACTAAAAGCAAGCCCATTCTAAGAATGCCTATAGTAAGATCTTCAACCCAAAAACGTAAAGGCGTATACGGACTTGGGCGTATAAGTTTCGACTACCCTGAAGATTTTTTTATCTTGAACAAGATATTGACAGATATATCTAGACCAAACGCGTATGAGGTTAAAGACTTAATCAACGAGGGATTTAACAAGGAAATCTTTGAAGATATGGTGACACCTCGAATGGACATGAGGCATCACCCATTAGCCAACAGAAGTGTATTTGGAATGTCTGGTGTAAATTTTCCTGACCAAAAATATGCCACTAAACAGAAAAAAATTGTACTGGGTACTACACCGAATGTTCTAGGTATAAATTTAGCAGGACCTAAAATCGATTTTAATGATTACGTTGACACTAAAAAACTGGGTGAAATGTTGGAAGTGTTGTATCACCAACACATGTCGCATTTACTACCCACATCGAAACACCCTGTTCCAGTTACAACAAGACATAAGTGGATAGGACGCAATGGTGACGTTGACATCAACCGTCCAATGATGACCACGCCATTGTTTGATGAAGACGATGGTGACGTAGGCAAAGGTAGTGACGCATCATCTGAAAACTACGAAGAGACGGATTCAGATGAAGGCATGAGCATTGAAGTAAAAAGGGCAACAATAAAACCCATTTATGGAACTACACAACTTGTGACAGACTCTGGTGAAAACAACAACAAAGATTATGATGATAAAAACGTTAAAACTACAGGAAAATTAAGCCCTACCAAATATGACGATTACTTAAATATATTTTTTGCTTTGGGAAAGAAGGCTATTGAAGATTCTGATCGTACAAATAATGAAGATGAATATTCCAATCCAAACAATGTGGTTTGGATATCAGAGGACGAGTTTAACTTTAGTCAGGATCCTGAAAGTATTGACTTGAATATAGCAAACACATTCACGAGAGCACGTTAGTGTGCCTATTGCTGGTTACGGGACTATCCCACCACTCGTTCCCACCATTGCAACTTCTGTGTAGCCAGGATCTACAGTATTGCTGGTTAGACAACTCACAAATTAATTAATTGTAAAACTGTACATTTTCCTATTAAATAAAAACACTAATGTAAATTATGACCGGACACAAAACAAGTGTTTTAATTTTTACTGTCCAACTAGTTTATTTCAAATTCTGTTAGGCCCCAGACTGTTAAAATTTCAATTTACGATCCCCAATTTTGTAGACGATAAATATTGGAATACATTTTAGTAAGTAACACGGCCTTTTTTCATCGTATTAAGCAGGCCATAAATAAATAAAAAACAATAAAAAAATTCAAACGCAAAGTCAGCTGACAACTGCTTGTCAATCCTTGAATAAAAATGGCGCTTCTAGCTAAGGGCAGAGGGATCGTATTTCCATTGGGTCACAATGTGAGGGGCATATACGGCACTTGCAGGACAGGGAACCGGGATCTGGTGGGATACGGTATTAACGGCTGCGCGAATTACAAGGACGATGCACACTTTCCGTTCCCCGCAGTGAGGTTTAAAGAGAACACGAGGGATATTTGTGTAAGTACTCACCTAAAGAAGTAGGTAAATAATTACAATTAGAATTCAACACACACTAAGACTTGGAATTCAAAAGAAACATTAATTTTTGGCTCTTTCACGACAGTGCCAACAGGTTCTGTCATGATGACGTTACCCACATGACATCTAAGCATGACAATAACAACAATAAACACAAGGCACAGGAAGGTAGGATACTAGATACAACATCCCAACAAAGCAACGGCAATGGAACCAGGTATCCGTTTAGATTTCAACTCGTTATCAGAAACGCCAACGACTTTAACGCCAGTATGCTTGAGCGAAGCAGCAAATCGAACGCACAGCATTGAATAGAGCTCTGTGATTGGTTCGTGTCAATCTGGTCAGGTGGGGATTCTTGGATGGCTTAAACATGGAGTGCAGGTGCGGTTTTGTTTCTTAGTCGATAAAGCACCTGATGTCGTGCCCTGAGTGCCCAAGCAACTGCACTCAGGAGGATTTGATGAGTGCTGCTGACAACGCCACTCTTGTGGCGGAGTTTTGGGCTGACACTGTGTAGGTTTGTTGTCGACACGAAAAGAAGTAGATTGGTTCGTGTGTCACCCTGTGCGTCCACTCGCACAGTGAGACCTCATAGTAATGTTTACGGGCGTAAATGTAATCGTTGAGGGTTGTCCTCCAGGCTCTCCGCGAGAAGGAGAAAGGCGACTGGAAGCAGCTCTGCTGTGAGGAGAAGAAGGCACTCTACCGCGCGTCCTTCTGCCAGACCTTCAGCGAGTTCCAGCACCCCACCGGCCAGTGGAAGTTCATACTGGGCTGCGTGTTCATCACCACCTCCTTCACCTTTTGGTGTGCTATGTTCGCGCACTATTACGGTTCGTGGTCATTGGTTTCTTTTACAACTATAACGTCCAGTTTCAGTTGACACACGTTGACTAATATTCTTTTAGATTAGCACTCGACTCCTGTAACCTGTTCCACAATAATGTAGTATTCTCTTGTTTCTACTGAAATTATACCCATTTGGCGAAATTATACGCGAAGTACGTATAGTTACATGGATTTGTAACTTCAAGTAACGGCCAGTTCACACATGTCTCCGTTTTACTGTTCCGTTTTTTCGTGTACGTTTTTTTCGTCGATGTATGTATTACTGTATACAGAATACTGCGTCATGTGTGAAGTCGCTCATACAACTTCATACGCCATCGACGAAAAAAAACGTACACGATAAAAAGGAACAGTAAAACGGAGACATGACGTGTGAACCGGCCGTAAGACATTTTGAGCTGGACGTCAGTCCTCCGTTTTCAAGACTGCACACTATCATTTTTATTCCAAGTATTCCAACGCAATCAAAAAGTCGTGGTTCATCAAACGGACGACTAACATCTTATTGGATAGTCTTACGTACGGGTCACGCCAACTATATTCTCAGAAGCTATTGGTTGAAGTACAACGTTACGTTACGTAAATAACAGTTTAACGGTTTTTGCATCAATTTCGTTCCGAGCGAAAACGATATTCATTTCATTCTTTAACCGAAAACAACCGGTTAAAGCCTCTAAATTATTTCGTTCCCATGTACTTAGGGCTATAACGGTTTGAAAAATTAACCGGTATCCGAGCATTGACAGTAGGGGTACATATCGTCTACCTATTTTTCTATCATCTGCAGTGAACGAGCCGCTGCCCGTGTCTCTGTCCAAGGAGTACCAGAAGGCGCAGCTGCGCCGGATGCTGGAGATCCGCACCAATCCCATCGACGGGCTGTCCTCCAAGTGGGACTACGACAACGACCGGTGGAAGGTACTGATCGGGGATTCCGGATGGCCCATTATGTGTTGTAATAAGTACGATTTTGCGACAAAACGTTTAGTTTCATCATCATCAGGCCGTTTAGTCTCCACTTTAGTTCAGATGGACGATGCTATTACCGTTGCAAATGGTAGCGTTTGTCCTATTTATAGCCTGACCAGGAACATAAAAACCCTGGCATAGAGGCGCTTCAATTGCATTTGATAGTGCAACACTGAGTACAGTCGTACATGTGTTAAATTAATAGGCTAAATTTATGTACCAGGATTCAGGATTACGGGCTAATTTGATATTTTCATAAATTTACGAAAAATATTATTAAAGGAAACCTGGTTTAAATAAATTAAATGAAACCATCAATCGAGCTAGTAGGATTTATTTTATTATTCATCAATAATCAAATTCAGAACTTGAATATTCAACTGCAATGTCTGCTCATGAACGCTTCAAACTCGGTACTTCTTTCCCAATTCCATAAAATTCAAAGCTTAGAAAGTGACAAAAAACATTAAAATAGGTAGTTGAAACAGACTACAGCTAATTTTCATAGTGGACTGTACTATACGATAAACATGTCAGTCAATTTGACAACCTTTGTCGGAAACATTATTCAATGAAAATATTGTCCGAATCCTTAGTATTTCTCTTCGACAAATACATTAACACATCGTGAACCACTTTTCTTTCACGACTATAAAAATATTTTAGCAATTTAATTCACAAAATCAATTGCAAACATTTAAAATAAAGTTTGTTTACACTTTGACAACAATAGACTGACATGCAAGGTGACATGTCAATGAAGTTTTCAGTTACTGTTGCCATTAAAAGAAATTAGTACCATTAGTTTTCCGCAACATGGCGAGGGTTTTTATGTTCCTGGTCAGGCTATACCAATTCCCTACGACATAGCCCGATGGGTTGAGGAGGCCTTGTATTCGCAATTCTGTTAGTCGCCAAACATAGACTCAGAAGGACGACGCTCTTTCTCTAATTTACCAGAGGCAAAAGGTAGCAGGAAGGCGCTGGACGCAGGCCGCTACCAACCGGGCAACATGGAAAGCATTGGGGGAGGCCTATGTTCAGCAGTGGACGTCCTATGGCTGAGATGATGATGATGATGATGAAAAGGTAGCATTTGGCGTACACTCCCCTAGCCCCTAGACGGATTGAGGCCTGATGTTCGAATATTTCTTCTTCGGTCGCCTCTTACGACATCGACTGAAATAAGGATGGAGTGGATCCAAACTCTGCCGTAACCACACATCACCGATTATGGAATAATAATGTATTACTTTGTATTGTTTCAGTACTGATCCCGTGGCTCTACTAAAGCTTCTGTGATAATGGCAGAACATTAATTTAATCGCTTATTCTTAAGTTCTTTATCGAAACTCCGAATCTAGTTAATCTGCTTCTAAATTCTTTTTACAACAATAGTTATGACCTACAACTGCTGTTGGGTTTCAAAATTGTTACTTTTGAAAGGAGGGCACAGGTTGACTCTTGAACTAGATTAGTGGTTATTATAGTTTATTGAATTTATGACGATTGTACTGGAAAGAAAATAAACTTCTGTTTGTTGGAAACATCTTTTTTAATTGAGTGTTAGCGACGTCAAGAATAGTCGAGATTAATGTTGGCAGCATCATGTCAAATAATGCAAATTAAGTAATTAGTCTGTTTCGTAGTTAAGAAAATGAACATGAAATTTTCGCCAAAAAGGCAATACCGTAGCGAAAACCATCAGGCTCTCTCGCTTACTCACTCGGTAGGCCTCTTTCTTGCATTGTCTGATCTCTCACTTCCACAAAATAGCTTCTCTTTCACACTTTTCTGGAAAATCTAGAATGTTCAGGAAAAAATAGAGAAGAAACGAGACGGAAATATCGGACCTCTCGCTTCGAACATTCTAGAACGTGAGATAGCAATATGTTTTGTCCTTGTCTTGCACGGATGGTCCGTTGCGCGAGGCAATACCGTAAAGAGAGCCGTTTTAGGTTTTTTGTCAATAACTTCGCCAATTTTGGGAATTTTGGAAACAGAAGCCCTAGACCGCCGGCACTTCGAGATAGAGTCGCTCGGGGTGCAAGCACGTCGGCCAAGTAATGACGCCGACAAAAGGGCACTCGACGTCCTAGAGAAGACCACAAAGAGGCTACCAAATGGACGGTTCGAGTCTGGGCTACTGAGGAAAAGTGAAAGGGAAACTCTACCGAACAACTACCATCAGACACGCCAGCGTCTCATCAACATGGAGAAGAAATTAGACAAGGACCCAGCACTGAAGACTTCATATGAAGAACTCACCGGAGAAGAGAAGAATCCCCAAGTTGTTGCCACATTGAAGGTCATACCACAAGTCACTCCGGACCCGAAGAGATTCTCCGACTGGACTCGACTGCTACGCAGTACAGCGCGCATATTCCAGTTCATCGACCTGCTAAGAGAAACTTTTTGTATAATGTAGATAATTTAATTACGCATCTGTAGAAAATAAGAAACCATTGTAAAACTACCTGCCAGTTGGAGAAAATTAGCAAAATCTGTGGATTTCCCGAAGACAGGGATAGCAATAGCGTGTGAAAGCGGGACGGAGATAGCCGCTCCCCATAAATACGGAATGAACCGCTCCAGCTGGCATGTGTTGTTTTGTTCAGTTCAGAGAACAAGTGCTCCAAGCAACAAGTGATCTGAAGAAGCAAGAACTGAGAAAAGGAAGCGAATAATAAACGCGAGAAGTCTCAGCAAGTGAAATAGTGGTTTTATTCCTGCAAGTAGCACCTACTACGCCTGACATAGTAAGGGCAAGCTCTCAACGGCAGTCATCATCGTCCGGTCAGCGCTCTCGAACACACACAAACGCATACAGTCCACTGCAGTCCACCACATTTTCCTGGTCCTTCGAGCCGGATCACCACATTTTCCTGGTCCTTCGAGCCGGATCACCACATTGAGTAACATCCAACACTAGAATCTACATTAGCGCAAATAAGAGGGTAGGTACTAGGTACACACATTTTTATAAGGTAAAACCACTTTAGTTAGTTAGATTTCTAACTAGGCACACAAGTAGAGAACAGCTTACAGCAAGTCAACCAGACCACACTTGTTTTTTTAGTCATAAAATTCACAAAAAATCTAGCATTTTGTGTGGTATTAGATGATGCACAGCATAGAACAGCAAATCTCAACTCTCAGAACGACAAAATACGAAACCTTAGCTTTGTAATAATTTTCCGAAGGCAAATTCAAAACCAATAAAATATTTATGCACATTATAATGTAGGCGAAGTAATGGGATTCGATGATTGCAGACCACGACGGCAGACCAAAGTTCCATGATAGAAAATGGCAAGCAAAGTGAACAAAATCGTTGCGCTGGTAGTTATTACTGTGGGTTTTTGTGGGAGGAATAATGCTCACGTAGAAGCTTGGAGTCTTTCGGAAGCATCGTCTGACGAGAGTAAGTAAAAATTGGTAAATAGAAGCAAAAAATGTGGTTCATAGTAGGTAACAGATACTTCTGCGTCCCAAGTAAATGTAAGCCTATGATGGAAAGATAAATGATGATGAGTGATGATGAATCTGGGGACAATGTTCCGACCTCATCACAGTAAAATTTTCCCTCCAGCTAGATTTAATCCAGAGATTTATTGACCTAAGCTAATAACAACTTTGTTAACAGATGACGTAAGACTAAATCGACGGAGTTTGTACACGAGGGAGTGGCAGTACGAGGGTCTCCCTATAGAGTTTCCAAACAGGCGTTCAGTTCAGAAAGTGGCGACATATGATGAAACTAGTAAGTATCCAATGATTTCTATGAAATCCAGATAAATGAGTGAATTAAGGATGTACCTATAATTTTGTCCATTGTTAAATGATGTCCACTGCTAGGCAAAAGCCTCTTCCAAGGATTTCCATATCGACCAGTTCTGCGCTGATGCTTCCCACGACTTTGACTAAATCGTCTGTCGACGGAATGGAACAGGACAGAAAACGAACGAACTACGTTCGTTTTAGCCAAATGACGTCCACTGCTGGACAAAGGCCTCCTCCAAGGTTTTCCACTGCCTGCGCTGCCCGCATGAAATTAGTACAGTATGAAAGGAAGGTACACCAACATTTAAACTACTGGTGGTTATGCGGCATGATTTACCAAACGTATAACCTCGCGACATCAGAACAGACGAAAAAAATTTTTCTAATTGTCACTGAAAGATTGTGATGACTCCTTTTCTCTCCTTCAAATATTAACCCTTGTTTCCAACAGCAACAACAACAGCGAACCCTCCCATCGACCCTCGCTACCGCCGCGTGTACAACCCAGACGAGGTGGCGTCCGTGGTGGACCACCCGTTCATGGCGGCTCTTCTGGTGAACAAGCAGCTGTGGTGCGGCGCCGTCATCATCGACAGAGACACTGTGCTGACCGCTGCCCACTGCTTGCAGCTGTAAGTACTGGCACCTCTCGCCACTGCTGTGTATACAACCCAGACGAGGTGGCTTCCGTGGTGGACCACCCGTTCATGGCAGCTCTGCTGGTCAACAAGCAGCTGTGGTGCGGCGCCGTCATCATCGACAGAGACACTGTGCTGACCGCTGCCCACTGCTTGCAGCTGTAAGTACTGACACCTCTCGCCATTGCTGTGTATACAACTCAGACGAGGTGGCTTCCGTGGTGGACCACCTATTCAAGGCGGCTCTTGCTGCTGTAAATATACTGCTATTCATTAATTGCTTCTTAATTTAAGATGTTTGCTCTTGTCGGTGGAGAAATTTCCATTCATTCCTGGACTCTGCCAGCTCCTTCCTTCAACTCTCTGTACATACAGTCTGGTAATAACTTTTTCTTTCAATTGCTGTATGTTCTATGTACGTACTTCTCCCTCTTATACCTTTAATCGGGCCTTCCAGATTTTATTCAATATTAATCTGTCACGATAATGATGATCCTCACTTCTTTGTAGGCAATACAACAACAGATTCTTCCGGGAATACGTCAAGATGCTTTCAGTCCGGGTGGGCTCCACCAACGCCACAGCTGGAGGAGAGGTCCTGAGGGTGGTGGAGATCTTCTTCCACCCCAACTACAAGCCCCAGACCCTGGAGTTCAACTTCGCAGTGGTGAAGCTCCATAAGAACATGACGTTTGGGAGACACGATCTGATCGCTGATATGGTGCCGTATTCCAAAATCAAAGTCGTTCCCGTCGATAATGTGATCACATTTCTGGGATGGGGATCAGTATTGGTAAGTTAATTGGAAGTTAAGACAGACAGTAATCAATGGAATGAATCTCATCTTCCCTGCCCTTTTGTCCCTATGTCTGAGAGTCCTCCGACTGGACATGAGCTCCCGTGACCTACCTGCAAATCTTTAAATAGACTTCGGACGCAGGTCGGCCGTAGTAAGGTCAATCTGTTCAGGTGGGAATTCTTTGAGAATGCAACTTGGAGTGCAAGTGTGGTTTTGTTCCCCAGTCGACAAAGCACATGACATGATGTCGTGCCCTGCGTGCCCAAATAACTGCCGCCATTCTTGTGGCGGAGTTTTGGGCTGACGCTGTGTAGGTATGTTGACGACACGACAAGGAGAAGAAAAAATTTAATAAGGCATATTGCAGGGATAGAAATAGGGCATGTAATATCGGAAGGTTTTCAATTCCGATATTGGTTTCCGATATTAGATCTCAATATCGGAATTCCGATATTAATATCGGAATTGAGTTTGTGTTATAAATTTTAAATATTTGGTTATATTCGTATAATTTCTCGATTGTATACAGTAAAATAATGATTTTAATCAAAATCTTTAATTTATTACAAAATAGCACTTCTTAAAATTATAAAATTGAAGTATTTAAAACCATTTTGTGTGTTAAGGGTAATCATTGGTAACTGTTAATGGGCCAATTATGGAAATGAACTAGCAAAGAATTTAAGTGTTTTTGTAAAACAGGTATCAAACAAACTTACTCATTCAACCAATACTGGCGGAACGATTTGTAGAGTCATTCAAGTCATATGTTACAAAAATATTAGACAGTGGTAAAAAACTTGAATATGCTTGTAATTTTTTCCTTTTTGATTATCGATGTACAACTCACAAAACCACGGGGCGATATCATCATCATCATTTCACGGTTGGTGGCGGCCTGCATCCAGCGCCTTCCTGCTACCTTTATGAGGTCGTCGGTCCACCTTGTGGATGGCAGCCTTATGCTGCGCTTTCCGGTACGTGGCCTCGTGGCCAGTTTTGCTAACTAGGGCAGAATCGCTGGAAGACCTCGGCACAATGCTCGAAGACCTAATCGAGTCTCCCAATAGGTAGGCCTTGGACATGGACAAAACGAAGCTTATGACCATGTTCCGCCCTACCTATTTTCGGTTGGGAACCTGATTTTCGAAATTGTTGACAAGTATGTCAACCTCGGATAAACGATTCAGCTAAGTAGATTCAATTTCGAGAAAGCGGTAAATCGTCAAATCCTACTCGGCTGGGCCGCGTTCGGGAAACTACACAACATCTTTTCGTCTAAAATACCTCAGTGCTTAAAGACCACCAGACTACCACCACTTAAAGATTACCAGTGATAATATACGGCTCGGAAACGTGGACTCTCAAAGTTGCACAGCGTGCTATGAAGAGGGCTGTGCTTGGTGTTTCTTTACGAGTTCGAATCAGAAATGAGAAGCCCTGTTTACGAACTAAAGTCGCTGACCTGACATATCCCGGCGGACTAGCAAGCTGAAGTGGCAATGGGCAGGGCACATACGCAGAACTGACGGGCCATAGTCCAATTTTATTAATGTTTGGAAGGGAGTTGAGATGTCGTTTTTAATTGCTAAGACCAAGTACGGTAAGTGCCAAAATTGTTTTAGAACATTTTATGGTTAGTAATTATTTGCAGTGGGACAAAAAGTGATGTTGAGAGACATGAGAAAATCATTGGTCTTTGCCAATTATGTACTTTGAGCTTTGTAGCAGGTTCTGGCGCGTTTAAACGCTTAGTTTAAAGTCTCAATTAAAACCTTTATCTGATTCCGATATTACGATATTGGGTCGCTCAATATCGGAATTGTAATATCGGATCTGATCTTCCGAGATTCCGATATTACGAGATTCCGATATTCATGCCCTAGATAGAAAGACATTAATAAAGTTGTCGTGGACGGACAAATGCTTATAATTTGAAATAACTTCGCTTTTCGCCAGGTTCACGGTGGGAACGGTGGATCAGTCCTGTTACAGAAAGTAGAACTGCCAGTGTACGACCTAGCCGATTGCCAGGAAGTTTACGGAAGGTAAAATCCTGCAGTTTGAAGCATGAAGTTGTTATTGAAGATTGTAGTAATAATGGTGTTATTTTCATCAGGAATCTAGTATCAAGAAACAACTTCTGCGCTGGCTACATTACAATACCTAAAAACGTGTGCAACGTAAGTATTTTAAACCAGTTCAATTAAGTCACTTTGTTTTTTGGTGTCAGCATTTTGCAGCAATATTTACTATCCGTTAGATCATCATAATTTTGTGATGACCAATCCCAAATAAAGGGTCGTATCGTGATCGACATTAATTGCAACTTTTATATGAGGACCTAGGCCCTATGGAATATCCTTCAGCGCATTGTCATAAAACGATCTTCTGTACAGCGTCCTCCTAAGCATTTGACGTCCTCTTTACCAAAATCTCAGTATCTACCTCGTATTAAAAATTATACAGTCACGTCTACTATTTCTTAGAGACCACGTCGATTAGATACTGTTCCTTCGAGATCATGTTTTGACGACTAAAGCTCGGTCTGTGAGCAGGTAGAATTTTGTCCAATGACCCCAAGCTACCCATCCTTATTGCTCGCGCGTAATTATATGCGCCCGCAGTGAGTGTGCGAGCGCGACAGCAACATAATTAATTACGCGCGAGCGATAAGAATGGGTAGCTTGGGGTCATTGGACAAAATTCTACGTGCTCAGACTATACATGAGGCAACTTATGTTTATTCTGTCTCCGCAGCACGACGCAGGCGGTCCAGCCATAATGGACGGTCAGCTGGTGGGCATTCTCTCGTTCTCCTCCAAGCGCTGCGACCAGCCCGACCACCCTGCGGTGTTCTCTACCGTCGGCGTCATCGCTCCATGGCTGGAGAAGTTGGGAGAGAAGAAAGTACAGCTTAGGTAAGGGTTTGTTGGAGAAGTATTATGTCTGGTAGCCGTGTGGTACTGGCAGTGTAGAACAGGACCATCCCCACTTTTCCCCATGGATGACGTCGTTGTTTTAGCCGAAAGACGTCCAGTGCTGGACAAAGGCCTCCCCCAAGGATTTCCACGAATACCGATCCTGCGCCGGTCGCATCCAGGCACCTCCCGCGACCTTCATCAGATCGTCGGTCCACCTAGTGGGAGGCCTGCCCACGCTACGTCTTCCGGCTCGTGGTCGCCACTCAAGAACTTTCCTGCCCCAGCGGCCATCAGGGCTATGTGCCCCGCCCACTGCCACTTGATGACGTAAAAGAAGACAATAAGCGATGATGCGACTGACTCTCCAATCCGTCTGGCGTGGGGAGTGTAGGAGTCTATTACCTCTGGCAAATAAGTGGATCATGCTCATTGATCTGGATCTCGATAACGCACACCGCTTGTCTCGAATCATATCCAATCGATCCAAGTTCTGGATTCTGGACAAGCCTATGGCTATGGCTTCACAAAGTTTGTAGTACCAAACATTACCCTCTGGTTTTTGAGTTAGTTCTTGCATCTCCGAAGACGAGTGAGCTTTACTTGTGTGTGTACTTGTCTACGTGTACATGCACTCATAACGATAGTGTAATGTCTATCCAAACTTTTGAAAAAACGAACAGTAGCGAGCCACCACATAAATACAGTAAACATTTTTTGATTTTATTTATTTATTTAACTCTGTTTTGTCAGACTTTATTAGTGGTCCAACTAGCCAATTTCTTCCCTATCAACAAATGCAACGCTAAAATGAATTGAATCCATTTTTCTTTTACAGAAACTCGGCGATAAAGTCCCCAGAAGCCGTGCACCGGCAAACATAATGAAACACTAATTTTAATACATCAATAATATATTTCCTCTAATACTGTACACACCAGCTTCCATTATTCTACATTGCAACAACAGAAATAAAAACATTTATGTTTTAAAACTTTAATTTCTATTCAACATACAACATTGAATAACATACAATTTTATGAGTAGATATATTTTATTTATAAATATAATGCGTTCTTTAGCGGATCTTCAATTTACTTCGAATGGAATGATATCGAGCTGATTTCCGATACACACTTAATAAAAATTACATTTTCAACAATGATTATTAGACAAAGCCAAGCTAATTTGTAATATGTACAGCGGAACTGGTAGCCATCTTGTTTTCGCGCGCATTCCCATGTCAGAATGACAGCTGTCACGCTCAACCAATACGTCACTGCCGCGTTAGTGCCTATCGATTAAAAACTGAATTATCATAACATTAAAGACTATATTTGTGTACCGCAGTATTGCAGCAGATTTTTTATTTAATAATATTCGCTTATTCTAAGCGGTAGTTGACGTGGAGCTCAGGTTTGATGTCGTATACCAAGCTGAGGATGTCTTTGATCACCTGAAAAGAAAAACCATAACATTATTAACTCACCACTTTAATTCTAATAGAAGGCGTGACATTATAAATGTTATCCGTCTCTCTCACTCAACTGGACACACTGCTATGAGTGAGCGAGACGTTAACAGCCAAGCCTAATAAACTGTTCCTTGGCAAACATGCAATCAAGCCAAATCCAAGTCATGCAATAAAAAAACCGTTTAAGACTGCGAAGAAATATCGGCAAAAAATGCGCCAACCATGCAATATGTTTCAATGTTTGAAAAAAAAATATGTAAAAAAACTAACCATGCTGCTAGCTTCAAAAGCACATGAAATTCAGATGATTGAGGCTGTTAGTGGAAAAGTAATTAAAAGCGTGCAACGAAAACGCATCCAGAACCAACAAATACGTAAAAAGGAAAAGAATAAATAGGTAGAAGATACCCTAAGCAAATTGATATCTTTGAAAAAAAATCAGTAAACGCTGTTCTGTTTATTTCCCTTGAAACCATTTTTGATAGTGAAAAAATGTTCTAATATTTTGGGATAGCATGGCAACAAGTTATCATTGCAGAAAAAAACCGATAATCTGAAACTCTATTGCAAATAATCTCTGAAACTCTATTATGAAACTACTAAGATCTCCTTATCTTGCAACAAATCTGTTAGTGTCCCGATTGATTGTACGATAAAAACATAATCAGTTGTTGGACATGCGTGAAATTGTCATGTAGTAGACGGGAAACGACTTTATGTTATCACGAATTACGCTAACGACTGCTCCACACGAATAGCTCATAATATTCGAATCCCTTTCGCATCTGGAGACTTCATTTGTGTCATTTTAGGACCTAAAATTTAGGCGATCAAAATAAGCATGTTGTAATGAAGTGATATCAGTTATTAGAAGGCCGACTTCCATCATTTGCCCTTGCCATTAATAAGTCAGATTGAATGGATTAAATGCTAAAGAAGCTTACATACCCCTGCTAAATAGAAATTGTCGTTAATTAATTCTCCATATAAATTAATTCAATTGCAATAAAACAGATGCTGTAATGATCGTTAAATAAATACACAAAGCACATGACAGTAGATGATCTACAGAAGACAGCACATCAAGCTTAACACAGTTGTGTCTTATCTCGTTATAGTACTGGCTATTTTGGAACAAAAATATAGTCTGATGTGCTGTCAACTGTACCTTGATGATGATAACACACAACCTGCTAGTAATTCAAGCACATTAGAACAAAACACATGAACGTAATAGTATAATGTAAAGATCGTTTCATCCACAAAGACGCGCCCTTTCTTCGGATAATGTCTGAGTGTTATCGGTACACGCTAAATTATCCATGAGTGCACACGCACGGATTAGCAAGCTGAAGAGACAGTGGGCAGGGCAGTGCACATAGTACGCAGAACTGACGGCCGATGGGGCAGCAAGGTTCTGGAATGGAGGCCGCGCACCGGAAAACGCAGCGTGGGACGTCCACCCACAAGGTGGACCGACGACCTGATAAAAGTAGCAGGAAGGCGCTGGATGCAGGCCGCTACCAACCGTGCGATGTGAAAGTCATGGTGCAGTCCTGTTGTCCCCCCTGGGGGAGCCAACAGGATTTCGAAATCCTGTTGTCCCCCCTGGCTAGGGGAGACAACAGGGCTAGATTTTTAATCAATGATTTGAGGACTGTTGTCCCCCGGGAGGCCTATGTTCAGCAGCGGACGTCCCGTCGCTGAAATGATGATAATGATGATGCACACGCACACTACAATAATGACGCTCGGATTGCTCGGATCAAACTCCCCTCACCCCGCGCTTCCCTCGCCCAAAAATTTTTGGGGCGCGTCTTCGTGGATGAAATCTATAAATGGCTATAGAATAGTGATTACGTATGTACCGCCTCCTTGTCATTTCTCCATGTGTATTTTTACGGCAACTCAAGCATTATTAGAACAAAACATGTAAATAAACAGCTGTGGAATAGTGATTACATACCGCCTCCTGCTGTGCCTGTACCATCTTGTTCATCTCCTCGATCTTCACCTTGGTCTCGGCATCGATCTTAGCTGCGACGCCCTCCCGTGTGCCCATGTGCTGGAAAAACGCTTTTATTTGAATAAAAATTGGCAATTAGTTGTTAGAATAATGATTTGTAATGAGGGCTATCGTTTTAGCGCTCACCAGTTAGCGCCACTGTAGAGTAAGGTTCTGTCACTTGCTAGTAGCGAAGACAGTGGTACCAACTGGTGAGCGCGAAAGTGGTAGGAGGACTATCGCATTTGCACTCATCAAGATGACGCCACTGTAGAGTAAGGTCCTGTCAATCGCCAGGGGTGCCAACTCTTAAGTATAAAAACTATAGCCCTCATTGCTGCAGTATGTAGAACTGTATGACAAATAATTTAGGTATCTGTGAGTAATTATCTTGATTTTCACAGTAGGAATCATGCAGAAATCTTAAATAGAAAACAGAAATACAGAAAATGACAAATGAATTTGCTTGGACTTTCAGTGATCCTCATAAAAATTGATTTCTTAATGTTCTAAGGAAATTAAAATAAAACGATTAAGTTTAATATGAGAGTAATACAATTTATAATAAATAATAATAATCTACATGTTAGTCTATTGCTATAATCAATAGGGCACGAACATTGCCACATCCAGGTAACCACCATGGCACCAAGTTATCTAAGGGTGGATTCGACCAAACAAGAGTAAATTATATTAATCTTAGAATAAATCGTCAGTTATTCGACATTTTGACATAATAATATTATTATTTCCCATACTGAAACTGTCAATGTGCCAGTTATACCAGGAGTTGTTAATGAGATAAAAGTTGGTCAAATTGGGCGTTAGTGTTATCGATCAAAAATTTATAAATTTAAAGTGACGTTGACTGTACTTCCTGCATGAAAACTCTTTTGGTAAACTGAACATTTGGGTGGACTGAATGATGGGGCAGCAAGGTTCTGGAGTGGAGGTCGCGTACCGGAAAACGCAGCGTAGGACGTCCGCCCACAAGGTGGACCGACGACATCAGAAAGGTAGCAGGAAAGCGCTGGACGCAGGCCGCTACCAACCGGGCAACATGGAAAGCATTGGGGGAGGTCTATGTTCAGCAGTGGACGTCCTATGGCTGAGATGATGATGATGATGAAACTGAACATTAATGTAATATTATAAGACTTGAATTACCTTGGCTTCGAATTCCTTGAACTGCCTCTCGCGTTCCTGTCTGTACTTCTCCACCTCATCTTGAGCCTCTTCCTTGGCCTGCTTTAGGCGTTTCGCTTTTCCTGGAAGGAGACGAATATACTTTAGTATTCTCCGTAACGGAAAATATACAATACAGTCACAGTGTTAACTATGGACAAAGATCCATAGGTCAGGGGATACTTTTGAATTTATCATAATGTCTTATTATAAATATACTACAGCCTTGGCCAAAAGTATTGAGCACCCATGTTATTTATTAATTTTGAAGGAATTATACATGTGTCTGAATCAAAACAGTTTTTAACAGTTTTATATTGTTTATTTACAACAAAAAAATAATACTTTGTTGGACCACCCTTCGCCTTAATTACTGCAGAAATTCTTTTTGGTAAAGATTGTACTAATTTATTACAATCGTCACATGTTAAAGCGTTCCACTCTTCTCGCAAGCGATGTTTTAGGTCTTCTTTTGTTATTATTGAATGGCGCCGGACCTTGCGCTTCAATAGACCACACAAATGCTCGATGAGGTTCAGGTCTGGTGACTGGGCAGGCCATTCAAGCAGCTCGATGTTATTGTCACTAAACCAAGCCATCTTTCGGTCAGCTTTGTGACAAGGTGCGTTATCCTGCTGGAATTTGACGCTCTTCATGTTGATGTCACCAAAAAGTGTTGTAAACGAGGGCAGAAGTGCGGATTCAAGAGCGTTTATGTACTTTGTAGAGTCCATGCGTCCTTCACACACAAACATTTCCCCAACTCCTGCGGCGCTCATGCACCCCCAGACCATCACACTGCCGCCGCCGCGTTTGACGGTAGGTACCACACACTCCGGGGTAAATTCTTCGTCTACTCGACGACGGACAAATGTCACACCAGGTGTGCCAACAATCTGTAAAGTAACGAAATTTTGTTAAGTGTTTTTCGGTCCAATATTTATTTTTACAAATATAGTTTTATAATATTATTGTCGCGTATTGTTATTACATGATATTGGCTAACTTACCTCAAAGTTTGATTCATCTGACCACACAATGTTTTTCAAATCTTCCTCAGTGAAAGTTTGGTATTTTAAAGCCTACTCGTAACGAGCTGTTTTGGTCTTTTCTGAGAGCCATGGCTTCTTTCTGGCTGTATAGCCCTTAAGCCCAGCTTCTTGGAGTCTTCTGCGAGTTGTTCTTGCAGAAATTGGCGTATTAATTTCAGCTGATAACTCAGCAGCGAGGTCGGAAGAAGTTTTTTTATGATTTTTCAAAGACTAACAATACTACAGTATCATAGCTAAACATCTCGAAACGTGTTTTATTGCACGTTGTGCCGTGAGTTTATGTTTCAAAACCTGTCAAGGAAAGGTTTTTATCAAATATCTTTGAGTATCTTTTATAGTTATCATGTATAAGCAGTATTTAGGGGGTGCTCAATACTTTTGGCCAAGGCTGTATAGTTCCAAAATACTGAACTGTCCTGTGCATGACATTGACAGTGGGGCGCCACCGTCAATACCGAATCGCTAGTTCCGATTTTTACCATGTTGGAAACCATATAGTTGAACGATGGTAGCGCCCCCCTGTCATTGAGTTTGGCGGGACAGTTCAGCGTGGGTCATCTATAAGGGCTGATTTTTCAATAATTGTCAGTTATCTTTTAGCTGAAGGATAAATTAGTCATTTTGACATATTTCCCATACTCAAACTGTCAACGTGCTAAACTTATTATTCAGTTAAAAGTTATCAGCCGATTGAAAAATCAGTCCTTAGAGGATTAAAATATATTACAGAACTAAACATAACATAAGGAAGCCACTACACTTTCTCTTATTAAAAATTATGCAAAGCTAGGTACTGTCATAACCCTCAAAGATGTTGGAGTCAATTTGATGTAGGTACTATTAGGTGGCAGGCAGTGTTATTTATTTGATGGACAATCAGTCAGCTGATTTCTGTGATGCTAACTGATTAAACTATTTTTACCCGACTGCGTCAGAAGGAGGGTTATGTTTTTAAATCTTGATTTTCAAAGGTATTCATTGCCTGAAAGCAGTTGAGCATGTGAAACCAGAAGATATAATAGGAACAGTGATGAATCAGAATAGATGATATTGGAAGACATGACAAGAACACTTTTCAGTCACAGAGAGACATGGAAAATTATGTCATAACTACTTTTATATTGTTCTTTTCTAAGCCTGTCAGTCCTGATAAGTCCTTTCTATGCTCATAAAATAGAGCTAACAATATCAACTGAATTTAAAGACAATACTTACTCTCATTCTAGGACTAATTTGAATGATTATCACATTTTGACTATTCTTTACGTACTGGAGTAGATAATCCCAGAGAAAACATGAAAACTGCGTACTACATGGTGCACTTATCTACAAGATCATACGCCCAAATTTAAGGAGGTGGTCTTTTGAGGTCATTTATTTCGATCATGTGATCTACCCAGCTTCATTGGTTGATCATTTTCACTCCTCCATGGAAATTACCTATGATCTAATGATACAATGAAAGAAGGGTATGAAAACATCTCACAAGAGTGAAGTGGAAAGACCCCAAGGGAAATGTGTAACAAAATACGCAATAAAATCACTTACGCTTTCTCGCCTCGGAGACTTTTTCGGCCGCACGCTTTTCAGCAGCCAGCAGTTGCTGGATTCCCTGTGTCTGGCTCGCCATTTGTAATACACACAAAAACTATGTCGAGCGAGAATCAAGACCGAGACACGAATCAATAGATTGATGCGTGATTGCGACGAAAGTCATATGATTGGTTTAGTTCCACCATGTTGTCACAAATGGCGCTGTTATCGGCTCGTGCCTATGCGTAAATGCATGAACCGGAACGTTATTCCACCTTCATATTTTGATAATTTTTAAGCAGTAATACAAAAAGAAATCAAATTAAAATTTTTTATCTTTACTTTTTATGTTTTATCTATTTATATTAAAATTACTCATGTATAATTTTTAAAAATACATTTTGGTAACGTAGTCAAAATAGCTTAGGTAAAACGAAGTACACACAGTGCAGTTGGTGTGTTTTAGTTTTATTGTTATTCGATAGATGGCGCTAAGTTCGTACCATTTTAAAATACCTACTAATTAATTCTAACATTGATTTTATTTTCATACATTGCAAAGTTCAATTCTGTTCATAATTTTTATTTTAAAATTGAATGTAATAATTACCTACATTTAAAATTATGACATTGCTGCATTGTTATCAAAACGGCAACACTTGACATACGTCATGAATTTAGTCGCGGAAGCGGGAAATTTAGATTTTTTATTATTATGTACAGGTGGATTAATAAATTCCTAGTTTTATTAGGAAATGTTAAATATTATTAAGTTTTTTTATCTTTTCATGATTTATTTTATAAGACCAAGTCATTATTTACCTACCTAAAAGCGTACAAAATGATATTTTTTTACACAAAACAATCATCCTTGAATTACCTATTCATAATGATTAATTTGCATTGTCATGCATTGACTTTATAAACAATCGCAAAAACGTGACATTGAAAAATATTGTGTCAAGGAAGTTTAATAATAATTAAAGTTATGATGATCGATCACAGAAAAAACTCATTTAACCCCTAAACAAGACTCCTGAATGATGCGAATGCGAGAGGGGAATGCTCGATCATTTGCTATTTCATCTTTTCTAAAAGAGACGGAAGATACCCTCCCCACCAAGAAGCTGCTCTATAGTAACAAGCTTGAATGAAATCTACAACTAGAGAATAGTACATTGAGGACTTTGATCTTCACGCGCACTATAATAACCGTAGTACGCCAGAAATGTACGATGTAGTAAAGGTGTATTTGAAAGGCTCATTAATATTTCAAGTGCAAAATCCACGCCACGGGCTCGGCGTAACGTCACTGTTTTCTTTATCATTTCGGTGGCAAACATAGCATAGTATGGCCGTCGTTTGGAAGTATTCACAGTTTTACTTCCATAAAGAATACGCGATAAACATTGCACAGAGCGAATTACGAAAGACTTTTTTAAATAAATTCTTTACGCGAGTGAGATAAACAATAACAAGTGTTTAAATATCAAGGAGTCAAATAAGAAAGGCGCCGCGACCTCATTTATTTGCAGTTTTTACGGTTTCCGTCAAAATTAAAATTCAAAATGTGGTTAATCAGTCAGCCGAATTCTGTGATCCTGCAAGTGAAGGCGGAACCAAATGCCATCGGACAGGAGTGCCTTGAAAAGGTGAGTCTAGTTCTTAGGTAACCTGACTTGCTATTTTTTTACTAATCTATTGTTTTGTGATTTATTTAAAAAAAGTCTATAGTAATTTTTTTGTTTTATAATTTCGATGTATGATTTTATTTTCGTCTGTGTCATTCTTATTAGCTATTTTTTGTAATTTTTCTTTTTTTTTTTCTTTTAAAAAAGGAAAGTAAACAAAAATATCCTCTAAATCATCAGAAACATTAAGCTTTTCCGGTTTAAAAAACAGTATTGTTTAAAACCTGAAATTTCATTGTAAAATTACAAAAGCATTATTGAGACACGTTCGCTCTACGTCACTGTTGTTACCTTGCGGACTTTGGACCCGGCAAACCGAGCGGCATGGTACAATCTGTCCACGCATTACCACCGTGATTGTACGAAAGTTAACAGCCAAAATGATACATTTACCACTAATATACAAGTAGTTACACTTGATGACAGTTTCTGTATGGACAGTACTTAATAAAGGAGACATTAATTTGCAGAAAACGCAATTATCATCTGTTTTTAATGCGGAGATAAAGAGCTGTAAAGGTAATAAATTGTCAAGTCGTAGCAAGTAGGTATAAATGGGTCATTCCATAAAAATCTGTATATTTTCGACGTCATTTTGTCCGTAACTTTTTTAAGATGCTTTTGAATACTTTATTAGTGTAAATTATTGTTTATTAATTAATTATGTTATGTCTAAAAGGGCCAGTCACTTTATGCTTTATTTTAGGAGAAATTATAATTTTCAATTTTTTCATACTACATTACTCCAATATGACTTCTAATAAAGTATAAAACTTATAACCTTAACATTTATAGATAAGTTAATACACATAATGTAGTTGTTTTGTTATTATCACTATATAAAAAACATCATTCCCTAACTAGTAATTTAGTCCCAAGTGCCGTTTAAAACTAGGGCCTGACGCTCTAGGGACTGACGATTTGGAGTAAAACTTAACACAAATGCANATTCAAAAAACGGCTACCGCAAAGCCAGTATGGTCTGAGGATAACTTCGTATCGTACTTTAAACTCAACTAAATGTCATTCACTCTAAATACATATTAAAGCGCAAAATTATAAAATCAGTGCGTGGCGAGGGAATGACGCTAAAAACTGTAGACTCTTTTTCAACTAAAGAAAATCAAATTATTGTTTATTGAAACCGCAAAATATTAATAGAATTTGGTGTAATATACATTTAAATAGATTATTCGTTAATTAAAACAAAGGATAAAGTTGATGTTTTTATAAATGTGGGTCCCAAAACACAAACTTTTGGAGTACGGACATGCCTAGGGAATGACGTTTTGGGTCATTCAAAAGGAATTTAAGATGTTTTAAAAATAGTTTCAAAAAATATAAATGGGTGATGAATAAAGCACATTGCGAGCTATTATTTAACAATTTTGGAATAAAATATTAACAAATATTTCATGTGAAATGTGGCGCGGACTAAGAGTTGACATATTTTTGTGGAATGACCCAAATATTAATGTAAGCACTTAGGTACCTATTTGTTGTAAGTACATTGATAAACAAATAAATACAAAGTCAATCATACGAAAGGATGCAATCTATGTAGGTATAGAAGGTAGTACCTACCTATCCGTATTCCATTTCCAACATAACATCGCCGTGAAAATCTTTCATCTTCAAGGTATTCACTTCCCTTGCTTTTGCAATGATAAGTAAAAATGACACAATACAATTTAGGCGCCAAAACTGACCCCTGGCTTTGTTCCAAGCTTCCAATCATTTAGATTTAGAACAATCTGAATTTCTTAAAAAGTATTTTCTTTTTTTGAGGCCAGCTTTATGACTCAGTCAAGTGGATTAAATAATTTAATTTAAATTCCATATTAAATTCGATTGAAAGGTCAAAAACTTTATTTTTTTGGACTCTAATAGGTTACTAGGGGCCTAAAAGCCTAACTGACAGGTAATTACGAAAAAATTAGCAATTTAATTAATTACATTATCTACAGGAAACACCTAACTAGATACAACAAGTTTAATAATTTTAATTAATAGTAATGATAAAAACCTTACTAATTAACTACCTATCTCTACTATACTCATTCATTCATCATCATCATTAGTAGTAAAATATTGAATGATCATGATTTTTCTCGTACTTAGCAATAAATTGCAAATTATAACGGCTTAATACCGATATTTTCCTACCAGTCTTCCAACCAATTTCGTATAGAAGAAAAATACAGGGTGAAAATTTTGCCAAATGTGATTTTCACAACATGTCGTAAGACTAACACCACAACTTACACTTATAGTCCGATTTTTAATTCGACGGAATTCTGACAGCTGTCATTTTTTGACAATTCAGATGTAATAAGCCTTTTTTGCTTTGAATTATTAATAAATAATATGAAATGAAATTTCATCAAGTACAACTTACAAGAATGAACTCTTGTTTGTTTTGTCAATTCAATGTACACTAATTATTATGTACATTTTAGAGATTAAATAGAAAAAAAACGTGTTTTAACACAGTAAAACAACATATTTATCATAAACGAAAATATGTATTGATCATCAATAATCATTATCGTCGTCATAATCAACTTGGATTATAAAATTGGCATCTTGTTAAATTGGTTATTTTATGAAGCTAAGATTTTATTAACAAAAGGATTTTCATAAAAAAGGTTTGTAACCCATGGATTATTGGCCAGGGAGTCCAGTAATAGAAAAATAATTTCCCAACTTTTTTTGTAACTTCAAAAATATGATAATAAAAATTCAAATAACCATTTTGAAATGATCAGTACATTTTTAAGCCTTAGTTTTTCAAGTGAAACCTTAAATTCAAGAAAGGATTATTTTTTATTTTGTGAAAATGCTCTCCATTCATAATGGGAATGTTTCAATGTTGACAACACTTCTGAAATGTCAAAATTCCGTCGAATTAAAAATCAGACTTTAGTGTAAATTAATTACTTCGTCTAGTTTTAACACCTTGAAATTAGAACTGTGATCTAAGTATTTACAATGCTATAGTAGGTAACAAGGAAAACTGACTTTCCCTATAAGATGACGTCATCCAATAAATGCTAATAATAACACCAGCTCTCCAAAGTAAATCGTTATTCACGCGGTATTGTGTTGTGGCACCGGTGACTGTAACTCGGGTCCAAAGTCCGCGGCTCAACAGCTGTGTACCGTGCGCCCGCGCACGCATGCTCGGCGTGATCTCAGAACAACCTTAATTGGAGCATTCACCACTAAACTAACCCCTATTACTATACTGTTAAGAACCAAGCTGCCGCACCACCAGTTTGCACGCTAACACACCTTGACTGGTGAAATCATTTGAATTGTAAACTCTATTGTAATGGACATAAGACTTGCATCGACTGCTTACTGCACGTTGAATTTCACGTGCACAAGAGCGTCCATCAATAATCTCACTTCACCCAAAACCTACTTGTTTTTCAAAACGCTTGTACTATCGTTTGGGCACATTATTACAATGTTACTCACAAAGTACAGTGCAGTATTTACTATTCATGTAAATGAAGTAGGCACACTTGCGGAAAAAATTCAATCACTTCTTGGCCTCTAAATAGTGCTAGTTTCCTTGGTGCATAATTATTTTTGTCGTTGTTAAGAATTTCCTATCTACCTAAGCTATTTGATTAAGTCCTGAGTCCTGCAGCCCTATAACATTTTGGATAGGTTTGTCTATTAAACTATTTTGGAGACTGCCTTACAAACATCAGAATTGGGTGGACCTTCACGAAATAATTTCTAACCTGAAAATGGTGTAACTATGCAAAGAATTTGTCTAGTGTCATAAAATTGTAACTATAGCCTTCACTGGTTGCCCACCAGTAAGGAAAACTAGCTTCAATGCAGAACCCATACAGTTGATATTTCAGTGATGAAAAAATTACGGCCGCGCTAACTCAACAGTCCAAACTCCAACACGAAGGGATATATTTAACTCAATTCAGTGGAACAAGACGTCTTTGTAACTACATTAGGCACGAAAGGAGGTCAATGGGATCAACAGCAATAACCACTCTTCAATAAGATTGCATTTCCGACAAACATGTAGGTAGATAGATACCTACAATATTCCTTTGCAGTACTTTGCACAGCAGCAAAATTCTGTTGCAATCGCTAGAAATGTAGAGTCATCGTGCAGGATCGGCTATTTCGAAATTCTATTCAGCATTGCAACTACTTCACTTTACCTAGTGTTTCACAAGATCACTTGATTAGCATAAAATAATGGAACATGAAAACAAGCGTCCTTAATTTTCTACGCAACCATCAACATTTTATGGCAGCGCTAAGAACCGCCTCGGACTTTGGAGCACGAAAATTAGTCCAGTTAATAATGGTTAAAAATGTTTTGCTACCATTTATTGAACTTTCCAATTGGTCGTGTGGACTTCGTACCCTGACGTCATAGACAAAGGCCCCTATGTTGGGTAACTCATTGTCGTATTGTCAACCGAATCTGTTTGTTTATGCCCGTGAGGTTGTACTTCGACCGCGGACGGTAGTAGTGTACAAACTCGTCCGTATGTAGTTAAAACAACCAAACAATAGCACCAAACTAGAATATAACCAGCAGCTCAGAGGAACGAGCTGGAACTTTCACTTGTATCTTTCGAATGAAAACGCTTTCGCGAAACACGTTTCAAGTTACGTGATGCCTCCAAAATTGACCATATTGATGCAAAATATCAGTCAAAAGCTAATTAATACTGAAAATCTTACGTCACACTAGAGTCTAATGACTAGACAGTCAGTAATTCCTCAAGAGCTGTTCTAAGAACTGGTTATCCACAAAGAATGAATCTTGATCAATGCCGAACGAGCAATTACTGTCGTCAACTGGGATTTACCCACTACAAGATTTAACGTAAAAAATGGGGATCTGAAACTTATTCCAAGAAAAACAGTAATGATGGTTACATGGATGATAATTTTCATCTTTCACCCATCAC